GAGCTCGGTGTGCCCATCGGCTGTGTGGGGCGCGGACCGTCTCCTCTCTCTCACCTGAAAAATTGCCTGGGCCAGAGCCCGCGTTGCGTCGCGTCCCGCTTTGTAGCGTCGCGGTTGCCGCGAAGTCCGGCCTTGCCGGCGTGAGACGAGTCGTGTGAGCTAGAATCAGTGTATCGTTGGAAAGTGAAATAAAAAGAGATTTGTAATGATTTATTTTTATCTTTTCTTTTTGGAGGTACATGGAGGTAATTTTTACTAAATTTAGTATCGCTAATAACTCGGAGGTACATGTATTTTATTTTCACCTATTGGCTTTTAAAGTTAGCCTCAGAAATTCTCTAGGGGGGGGCTATAGAAGCATAGTGAAAGTTGAGTAACAAGTTCCTTCAAGCCCTAAAAACCGCATAGGGTAATACCTGTATGCCTCTTAAAGTACGTGTAAGCCTTCCTTTTTCCGTAGTATATGCCCAGTTTATCGTGCATTAAGGTGTCTGTCTAAAGGAACCTTGCCCCGGTGACCAGCTTTGCAGAAATAACATTTGCAGCGTTCAGTGTCTGAGCCCTGGTCTTTCTTTTTAAAATCTTTATCTGTAGGAGGTAGGTTATTGGCTTTAAGTTGCCTTATCAAAAATGACTATTTTGGCAAAACTCCTGGATGTAAAAATAACAGGGAAGAAAGCAGGGTGGGGGGGAATCACAGCTGGGTAATTGAGGAGAAAATGCAGTCTTCGTTATGCTACTGGACACTTTGGTGTTAGTGGCTCTAAAGTTAGTTTGCTCGTTTCTAGGATGCAATTTTTAGAGTGAAATGCCTTTTCTGTCACAGATGCGGCATTCCAGACGAACTAATTATCCTGACTGGGATGAAAAGGAGACTTGGGATCGCAGAAGGTGCAGCAGCGGCCATAAGAGAAAGAGGAGATCGCTCAGTAGTGCACGGGATAACAAGCACTTCAAACATGATCTTTCTAAACTTCCTGATAGGTAAATGACTTTTTGGC